CATTTGGGAGTTTCCCAAAATAAGCGGACCCTAAAATAGACCCAAGAATATTATGGTCCTTATTATTGGGACCTCCATAAAGCTACCCCTATTTTGGGAAACCCCTAAACCCTATATACCCCTATATGAACCTGTAAACAAATCCCTATATCCCCCTATAAATCCCTTTAAAAGGTACTCCTAATTTTTGGGATACCACGATTTAGGCAGGTATACCGATGCCAGCTCGGACAAATGCGGAGCAGACGAAGGGCTGCATTCTGGCCGCTGTGCCACCTGAGCCTGTTAATGTAGACCCCTGATTAATAACCCCCCTCCACTTAATAGGGATCATAATAGGGATCCTAATATTAAGGCCCTTAAATATAATAGGGATCCTAATATTAAGGCCCTTAAAAGGAGGGGGTTTATTAATCATGGGTCTCCATTAGTAGAATCACCCAAGGGCTCCAGTTACCTAAATAATGGGCTCTAGGGTTTAGGGTTTAGGATACCCTATCATAGTTACATAGCCCAGTAGCCCACTATTTAGGTAACTGGGAGCCCTAGGGTCAAGCATTATCGCCAGAATCGACAGGACCGTCCTCGCACCAAGCATGAGAAATAGCCACAGAAATCTTCCTTCTGTATTCTCCATGTGAGCTGTAGTCTAAACTCCTAGTATCCCCCTTAATAACCCCTGTAGTACTCCCCCATATAATCCCCTAAATAACCACCTTTGAGGAATGTAGACTAGAGCTTATGTGTACCCATCCTAGCTCCTATGCAAGGTCCCCAAAAAGACTAAAATGCCAGTGCAGTTCTTGCTTCAATATCCAGTCCCATGATATTTCTCAGTCCCCCCGAGGCAGCCAGATAAATCGTTTGTAACCAGCAGCGGCCTTGGAGACACCTCTACCAATGACTGCACTATTATGGTTCTAGATTTATTGCATGATTGCGCTATAAGACGATAAGGTACCTCAAACAGACCTTCAAGTGATACTGGTAATTATTTGAAGCAACAATTCGACGCTTGTATAGGCCGGCGGCACTCGAGGTGCATATTGCCCAGTTCAGCAGGCAGGATGCGTGACTGCTTGAGTAGTCACGGGACCTGGGGCTTACCAGGACTCCCCATGTACCCTGGAGTAGGGTCTATATAGCTGCTGTTTGCGGTATTTGGGGGCTCTAGGTGGTATTCAGGTATTGTCATTGTGTATGTGTTGCAATTGGGTTCAGGGTTTGTTTCAGGTCCGCAATAGCAAATATGGTAGTATCCTTAAACAGGGGGACCCCAATATAGACCCCAAAACAGTCCTTATCATAGGGGCCCACAAAATGGTACCCTTAGTTTTGGGAACCTTAAACCCTTATCCCTAAACCATCCTAAACCCTATATATACCTATATAGCCTTATCTCCCCTATAAACCCCGTATAACAGATGGTCGCTTAGACGGCCGCAATGCCAGCACACACGAAACAAAGCTCAAATTGCTGGTTACGCCTGCCTATACCTCGCTATGAAACACAAGTTCCAATTTCATTCTCCATGTTCTCGTCCATTTGATTCTCCATTATTGGGGGCATACATACAAACCCTAAGCCCTAAGTAGTAGTTTCCATGCTTCTTTAACAGGATTAAAAGCGCGTTGTTGATGGCACATCCAAAATGATCAACTTGAGGGCTGCTGGGCGGGGCGAGGATCATAGGAGGGGAGTTTCCCGTGGCAGGAGCTTATATGAGGGGTATATGAAGGTAATACAGGGTCACGGTGAGGCATACGAGTATAAGAGGCTTACGTAAGATCCGCCCGCGGGAACCCCCCTCCTGTAGTTGCCGTAGACTAGCAATTACTGTGGAGTACATGAGCCCTAAACCCTAGGTCTGAAACCTTGAATGGGGGCTTCCATAACGGGCCACCCGAATTTTGACCCCATATACGTGAAATATCCCTATGATTCGGACTCCCGAAAGGGCCCCCTAATTTTTGGAATCTCCCCGGATGGGGATTAAATGGAGATTGCACAGGCTTGGCTTCTTAGGGTTCACAATCTGAGTTTGGGTTTGGCCGATAAGCGGCTACATCATTTGCAAGAGTCCCACTCTGGGCCCAATGAAAGGCTGATCAAGGCCTCTCTTTTCAGTAGCTATGTGGACCGCCTATTTCTAGCACGTGGGCAACATCTCGAGTGCTGGAGACCAGCTGATAGAATGTTGAATGCTCCTGCTTGACCGTATCGACTGTACGAGATGTGGGAAAATGTAGATCTCAAGACTTCCAGAGGCCTTCGAACCCTAAACCCTAACCCTTGACCATTAACTTGACTAAAAGCAGCAGACTGCCCTCAAGCAATGCCAGAGTAGCGGAGGCAGCTCGTAAAGAATCTGCAGCCAGAACTGCTCAGGGCGGTTCAGGGATGTGGCGGCAGGGAGCAAGGAGAATCAAATCGAAAATAAAAGCAAATGGGAGATGCAATGGAAACAGTCGTCGTGTAGAGGAGTCTAGAAAGGGGTAAGCTACTCTCAAATCGGGCTGGCAATTGAGTTCGTGAAGAGTACATATAGTTTGCCATTCACCAGATCACTGCCCCTTTGGACCGTAAGCCCTATGGCGAAAATTACGTTTTTGCTGGAGAGCCACGCGTTGACTCCAGGACGCACCTGGAGATTTCGGGCCAAGGCCTGATGGGATTCCATGCGCTACGTAAGTCCGCCAAGCCCGCCCCACTACGACCCCGCCACTACGACCTCCACCACCAGCACCAGCAGCACCAGCCCGCTAACCGCTGCCTCACCCCCACCACCGCTCCCATCACCCGCCACTGCCCGCCACTGCCAACGCCACCTTCACCACCACACCACTTGACGTGACCACTGCTGTCACAGCTGCTTGTTGTGGTGCCTGTTGCTGCTTCTCTATCACTCACGAGAAGCAGGTCGTGAAGCCGCGATAATCTGATGGTCTAGTGGTCGCTTATTTGCCTGCTCTGACTGAGTAGACCCAAAGTGGTCGAACTGCGCTGCGGCATTGAGGTTGCTCGCAGCTCGCTTTGTGCGCGAACGTCCTTCACCAATTTCAACCTTACGAGTTGAGGCCGCGTGCTAGGGAGAGGGACCGTGTACAGAACGGAGCCAACAAAGTCTCACCGCGTCCGGGAGCACGCAAACTACGCGATGCTCTGAAAAAGTCATGGCTTGGGGGTTGAGGGGCTGCCGAGGTGGAGTAAGGCTGGAGCTTCCTTCAGACCCTGACACGCTCAATTTGATGTTTTTCATGCTGCAAGGTTGCTCATTTGGCAGCCAACACAATACCGTTGGGACAACACCAACCTTCAATAGAACGTGTGGCTTCTCACGCAGGCTTGTTATTTGCCTGGAAATCTAGGTTCAGGCTATAAGGGTGAAGGGTTTCAGTAAAGGTGGGTAGAGGTGGTAGAATCAGCTGTACTCTCCCAAGCATTCTGCATATGGACATCATATCTAGTTTGAGAGCCAGGCTGTTAAGGCAGTTCAAGCTTGACCTGTAACCGCAATTACAGTTTAGTAGTAGTCATTCTCTAATGAGTAGGTAGGTAGAACACATAGAGCTGTACGTGATGGGAGTTACTAATTCGCCGCATGAGAAACCCCACATCCTACTTGCAATTTAGAAGCCTCATTCCAATGAAATAAAATCTCCAGAAACAGCCACTCCTCCCGATGAATGCAGTTCAGGGACTTGAACATGTTGTCAAACAACATCCTTTTACTTTTCCGTTCCTTCATTCCTTAAGAAGCAGTAGGGAGGTCCCTGACACGGAGCCAGGTCGGCAGTTGTAAGAAAGTAGTCCCCAATACACGGCGTCCTACCTTCCCTGGGGATGAAAATGTCCCGGAGGAGTGCCGGAGTAGGTTTGTTTAATACTTTACAACCCAGGCCCAAAGTAATTCTTGATAGACTTACAGCATTGGGTGGGCGTTAACCCCCAAGCCCTACACCCTAAACAGCCGAGCCCCACAGCCTAAATCCCTGAACCCCAAACCCTAGTTAAGAATCCTCAGCCCCAAACCCTAAACCCCATATAATCCCGTTATAGTAGAAACCCTAAACCCTATATACTCCCATTATAGTAGTAGTTTCCATTGTCTTTCTATTAACCCTAGAACCGATAGCCATTTCGGAGCCTAGCTCTCCTGTAGCTTGCAGAAATCCAGTCCACCAGAGAGGAGGAATCATGCGGGTGGCAGCAGTGGCCTCGGTTTTGAATTTAGGGCTTTAGGGCTTGAGGGTGTAGGGTTTAGGGTTTGATTTGTGGGTTTAGGTCCCTTAGGTCTTCATTCTGGTTTTCCGGGTTTGGTTTAGGGTTTAGGACTTAATTCAAGGTTTCGAGAGTTTGGCTTAGGGATAAGGGTTGGGTTTAGGGTCCGGTTTAGAGGTGAGGGTTTAATATAAGGTTTAATTTAAGGCTTGATTTAGGGCTGGTGCGTAGAGCTCCATTTAGGGCTTAAGGGCTTAGGGCTTGATTTAGGGTTTAGGATTTAATGTGCGGTTGAGGGTTTTGTTTAGGGTTTAGAGTCTCGGGATAGTGTTGGGTTTAGTTGAGGGTTTAAGGCTCAGGGTTTATTACGTCCATGTGAGAAGTTCTCACAACAGCCCTTACAGAGCCCTGGGTCAATATGGCCTAGAAAGAGTACATTGATTATATGTCGAAACCCAGCAATTCATATTCCACATGTATGGGGCTAAGTACAATGAGGCTCGGGGAAGCACGATTCCGCAGTAGATGCATATGTCGATTCTGACCGTGAGCCAGAAGATTTGACTCTTTTTCAGAAGCCTGGTAACTAACAAAATGGATTACACTTTCAAACACGATAGTTTCCAACAGTATAACGCATCCAGGAGTTCAACCAATCCAAAAAAAACACAACCCCACAACGATGCCAACCAACCCTAGACAAGTCCAAGCCTCAGCACCATAAATCCTAAACTCTGAGCCCCTAAGCCCTAAGCAATGCGGAGATAAAGCTGCCCAGGTCCTAAGGCGAGCCGTTTTGCAGGGATCTCCTTCGCGGAATCTGAATGTGTGCCTCTCCCGGCTGCAACAGGCTATCGAAGGCTGTTAGCATGGAATGAAGGAATGGAAAAGAGAATGGAAACAAACTCCCAATCAGGATTTGGGGTTCGGGGTAGGGAACCACGGGATATGAAGGACATATGTATGGCGTTATATACGCGCAATGGAAAGAACATGGAAACTACTGATCAATGTCTACGGTTAAGAGTTTGGGGAGGGGAAAATCAGATCACATGGAAACTAGGGGTCTGAACTGGTGTGAAGAATTATCGGGGTGGGGTGGCGTGGGGTGGGGGGGTATATATGGCTACAGCAGGGGTCCATTCCCTCATTACTGTGGGAGGTCAGGTGAGGTAAGTTGTTTAATCGTGCTTTGGCGCCTGGGTGTATATGATGGGAGAGGTTCAAACCTTGAGGCTTTGGGTTTAAGGTTTCAGGGTTTAGGGTTTAGGCTGTAGGGTTAAAGGGTTTCGGTTTTAGGGCTTAGGACTTGCGACTCTGGAAAAGAACTCTCAAAATACAGCACCCCATACCTTAAAGGCCGTGAAAAGCGGACACCTGATGATGCCCAATCTATTATACTTTTTTTAGACATGTGCATATGCATAAGCATATACATGTGAAGTACAGGGCTTGGATTGCGCCTACACCCTAAACCCTATACCAAGAGCGCGGCACAAAAGATGTACTAAGGGGCTACCCGCGCTTTCAGAACGCGGAGGAGATGTACAAGCCCCTTGCATCGTGTTTTGGGTTTAGGGTTGCAGGCAGGAGTTAACCTTCATAGGGGCCGGGGTTTTCTAGAGAGCCCGAAACCGCGTAACTAAGGAATATACCCTAGGTTATCCCTATAGAACCCTATAAAACCCGAATAGACCCCTATATAAAGCCTATATAACCCATTATACCAGTAGTTGTTTCCATGTTCTTTTCAGGTATCCCCACTATAACGCCAACATAGCCTGTGGGGTGGATTCCTGTAAATGTCTCCGCGTAGCCCCCATGTATCGCAACTATCACTGTAGGACCCTTCATTCACTGTTCCCCTTAAAGTCCTAAACCCTTGAGCACCAGTAGGATGTAGCATTTTGGGGTTTGGTGTGCGGGGTACGCCTCCGGGCTTAGGGTAGATCTTGGACTTTTGACTTTTGGAAAGTGTTGCTTTAATGTGTGAGTATCAGATAATCCTGTGTTTGTCATGATTTCCAGCAATCCAAGGACATCTCGGGGGAAGGTCCACGAATCCAGGGAAATCTCCGCGAGGTAGTCTCTCCACATAAGCATTCTACGACCCTCAAGTAAGGGTATCCGCCTGCCCAACACACCACCTCAAAATTGCTTGAAAATTAGGCTTCTGCATCTGTTTGCTAGTAGCCGTATGGTTGCTTTCTACATCTAATCATACCGCTGTGCGTGGTTTCTCTGAATCCTGCACCTGGTGTTCCAGGGAGTTTTGTTACGAGACTTCTGGTTCACGATGTGGCAGTTGGAAAAGTTAGATTCCTTTCTGGGACAGCCTACATATTCGAGGCCCTAACCCTAAACCCTAAACCCTGGGCACCCAAAAAGGGATAGTCATGTTGTCAACCTTCCATGCCAAACCCTAAAATACCACACCCTAACCCCCAAACCCTAAGACCTATAGCACCACCCTATCCGCCTATATACCCCTACATGAGCTACGGACTAAATTTAGATTGGGGGGAGACCTGTAGGGGAACATATAGGGATTTAGAGGGGCACCTATTAATAATTAAGGAATATACTACAAATTTACGTAGTCCAGAGCTCATGTCCTGTTACAGGTACAAACCCTAAACCCCTAGACCCTAAACCCTAAACCCCTAAAACCCAGAGCCAGGCATATCCGAGGCCTCACAGAGCAAGGCTTCTCGCTGCATTGGCCGTGTGAGCATCTTTCAAGGGTATTAAGGGGCTTTAGGGTTTAGGGTTTTGGTGTTTAGGGTTTAATGTTTTAGGGGTTAGGGTCTAGTGTTTTAGGGTTAGGGTTTTAGGTTCTAGCGCTCAGGGCCCGAATAATTACCAGTATCATTTTGGGGCTTGCTTGAGGTAGCCTGTATTATACAAGGAATCTAGGACCATAGTACTGTAATTGTCTAGTCTAGGCTTCTACATTGCCTGCAATCCCCCGCATTAACATGGAGCCTGCAGCAGCTCTACAAAGCCCGCTCCTTTCTTAAATGGGGCGGCTACATGGGGTCCCATGCTCGTTTGGGGGATCCAAGATTCTGACAGTGGCATTTGGGGTGTGAGGTCCTCCGGGGGTTGAATCTTGTCGTGTTGGGGCTTCAAGAAGCAAGGTAATGTAGACCCATGATTAATAAACCCCCTCCTTTTAGGCGCCTAAAAATTATGATCCCTACTATAACCCCTATCAAGGGGATGGGGTTGATTAATCAGGGGTCTGGGTTACCCTTTTCAATGGCTTGATGGTTAGTTGGAGGGGAGAGCTTGCTGTTTTGAAGCTGTGGGGCTTCTTGGGCCGTTGCATGACTTCAAGCTGTACGTAAGGCTGATACAGGGAGACTGGGGATGTATAAGGTAACTATGAGGGTTGTGTGAGAAAACCTGCCCCATCCGAAACTTCCTTAGATTGGAGGAATGCACCCCTATGCGATGTATGTACTACTCCCTATAGTGACCTTGGCACCTGTTCCCTCTTCCGCTGCCAATTAAAGCAAAGCAAGATTTGACACAAGCCTTGAGAACTTCCAAGGCTTGAGCTTTCATGACCTAAGCTTCTTTCAAAGACAGTCATCTCGGTGGAAGGTAACATGGTCGCGGGCTTGTCTTAGATCCCTTGCACACGTGCTCATTTTCTCTTCCTGTTTCTCAGTAGGGGATAAGGGCATTTCTTACACTAGGATCTATATAGGGATTACCTTCCCTTACATTCCCATATTCCGGTTCCCTACCAAGAACCAGTAAGTCCTTTTCTGGCCAAAAGGTGGTTGCAAGATGCCGGAAGGTGTAAAGGCCTTTCTGAAGACCCACCCAGGCTAAACCCAAAAAAACAAACCCTTGTAGGGTTCAGGCTTCAGGGCTTAGGTAAAATGAATTCCTGAAGACTTCCCGGGAGATTATGTAGGTAGTCGATAGGGCGTCTTCCTATCACATGGGTAGCGACGGTTTCGTTGGACCAAACCAGGTTATAGTCTTCTTACAAAACACTTCGCCCAAAAAGGCGAATATGATCTGAGGCTATGCCAGGAACTATAGAAACCCCGTCGAAACACATATGGGCCCCAAACCGCAAACGGGAATCTGGTGTGTCTTGAGACAGACATTGCTTTCACATCCCAATTGAAGGGCCGCCAGCATGAAAGTAAACTTCAGAAGCTTAGGGTGTAGCGCTTAGGGTTTAGAGTTTAGGGCTTTAGGGCTTTAGGGCTTTAGGCTTTAGGCTTTAGGCTTTAGGGTTTAGGGGTTTAGGGTTTAGGGTTTAGGGCGCACCAACCCTACAGTCCCCCTTAAGTAGATAGAATATAGGGTGCATGGTTAGGGTCATATAGGGATAATGGAAAAGAACATGGGAAATACTATATTATGATAGGGTATATATGTATATATTGCGCTTATAGTCCCCCTTAAGTAGATAGAATATGGGATATATGGGGATCTTATTCTCAGATACCCAGAGCCACATTCTATCTACTTACGGGGGACTATAAACCTTGAACCCTAACTCTGGACCCAGGACCCTGTTAGTAAGAAAACCTGCAATACCCGCCTGATTTCCCTTGATTCAAGCTTTATAAATCCTTGGTACTACACTCCAAAACGAGAATGAGTCAGTAGCCCCCGTTCACCTTGCCATTCCCCTGCACCCCGTCAACCCTAAGCCCTCTAGAGGCCCTTCAAACCCTAAACCATAATCTGCGCAAATCAAGAGCCTGTAATCCTGAGACCTGTCATCCCAATGCCGATTTCTACTTCGCTAAAAGCCTCAGAACCCTAAATCTACAGCAAGCAGCCCAGGGACCTTTTAGGGTTGAGGGTGTTGCCTACACCTTAAACCCCAGGTTTGATCGTTGGCTGTTGGGGTTCCTGGCTGCTTTCAGGATTCTGATTCCGACGTCCACATCTGCTGTGGCCCAGGTGGTGACTTCACGGTACGAAACTTCGTGGGAGTCATTGAGGAGCCGGCATCCACTCCTCAAACCCGAAAACAGGATAAGGGCTGGAGCAGGAGGGTTAAAATACAAAGGACTTGGGCTAGAGGGTTGCGATCCGGAAGCTACAACTTGAAGTCACTTCTGACCTTAAAGCACTGCTGCCGTTGAAGCAGCTGCAGCAGCAGGCGAAGCAATCGCCATGTCCTGTCTTATGATCACGGCAAAGTAGTGGCCGCTAACCAATAATGAACATTTCCAGGGCAGTAAATATCATGGTTTGTGGGTGTATATATATATAGTATACATATACCTGTATGTCTATATATATATATATTACATACTGAGGAAATATGTATTACGGGTGTGGAAGGCGATGCAACTGGGGGAGAGGAGTAGATTGATCTCTAGAGGTAGCATGTGCCTTTCATTAGTTTCTAGCTTGCTTGGAGGATCAAACGGGCAGCCATGTCTGTCATCTTCAGGAGGGTGAGGGATGGTGGACGGTGAGGTCTTGAATCCTAAGCCAGAAGCCACGAACCCTAAACCCTACAAACCCTAAGCCCCAACACTTGCAAGGGATTGACAAGCCCAGGCTACCTTAGACTGGGTTGCTGTTAAAGGACTTAGATGGAGTTACTGTAATAAGGAAGCCTATCATGTACCAATACCCATATTATGGTAGCTTAAGCCCCAAACCCTATAAACCCTAAACCCTAAACCCCTATATAACCCTTAAATAGTCCCTATATGCCGATATTCTGGTAACCCAGAGGGTTTAGGACAATAGTCACCGCACCTCGCACTCTATGCTCCATCCAGGTTTAGGGTTTGGGGCTTGGGGTTTAGGGTTTAGGGTTTAGGGTATGGGTTGCTGTTGATGAACTCACATTATGTTGCCATATTTTGGGTATATAGCGACTAATAAAGTTTCCTCATTATAGTTACTTGATGCAAGTTCCTTCAGGGCAACCCAGCTGAAGCCAAGTGAGTTCCCGTTTTAAAATTCTACCAGATTCTACCATTTATGAAGTCTACATACCCCCTGTTCATTTATCAATCTGATTTTCCATTTGACTTTCCATCATTGCGGTTGTATTACCAAGGATCAATTCAAAGAATGTTGGAAGATCTTCACCTTAACCCCTCAACCATTAACCCTACAACATAAAGATTCCCTAGGGCTCCCAGTTACCTAAATACTAGGTTACTGGGCCATGTAACTATAGGGTATATAGAACCCAGTTCCCAAAACCCTAAAACCTAATCCCTAAACCTTATATAACCCCTATAGAATCCCTATAACCCCTATAGAATCCCTATATAGAACCCAGTTCCCATTATTTAGGCAACTGGAGCCCTAGGAACCTAGCTACCCTAAACCCTAAACCATCCTAAACCCTATAGTAGTTTCCATTTTCTTTTCCATTATTCCTATATAACCCCTATTAATGGGTTACTAAAGATTGACCATCGCAGTGCCCAGTCTTGACAGGACATGTCTCATCGATTCGAGCCGCTCCCCTAGACTGCTTGTTTGGGTTGCTGTTGAGGAACTTAAGGGTTAAGGGTTTAGGGTTTAAGGGTTTAAGGGTTTAGGGGTTTAGGGTTTAGGGTTTAAAACAAGTTACCATAATGGGTATATACAGTAATTAATATGGTTTCCCCAATAAAGTAACTTAAATTAAATTCCTTAGCAGCAACCCAGTTGTTTGGATTGTAGGAGTGTCCGTCAGGAGTCCCTCCAGGACCCACCACCGTTGGGGCTTTCTGGAAATCAGGCTTCCTTTTTGGAACAACTTGTGTACTGGTGGTCAAATATCAGGTAGATCGTTATTGTGGAAATCCCCATATGGAACTTATTGCTGTTCTCATCACGGGTCTTCCCGTCATTGTTGCTGTTCCACCTGGCAGTTTTTGGCCCGCATTCTATCTATGGCAAGCAGTCTGACAATTCCATTGGGCGCTACCGCTATACAGATTAGCGAAGCATTTCAAGAAGGAAGTTAACAGGTTGCGGGCGCTTCAGGCATTACGGCTTAGGGATTTGTTGCTTCAGGTTTCAACAAAAATGGGCCCTTTTTCGGATCTTACGGGACAAGGAATACGGCACCTGCGCGAGCAAAGGCGGACCCATTTGCTCTGACAATACCCCAGTAAGTCGAGGTACAGAAGGTTTGGGCATGAATCGCATGGTGACGGGGTGTGTGCAGAACCTTCTGGACTACGGCGCATGTGAGCCTGAGATAGCTCCTTGAAGCAAGGGTTTCAAATTCCCAGGACACCCCTCTTTCCTGCTGGGGCGCTGGATTTCTACACCAAGAAGAACATGGGCGCGGCACCCAGAACTGAAGCAAAGTCTTGCCAAACTCTCTCCTCGTAAATACCAACCTAATGCCAGGGTTTACGAGGGGTGTGGAGGGCCCGATTGAGGATCCTGTGAAGCAAAGTAGGACAAGTGGGAGAGGAGGAGGCACAGGTGGTATTAGTAGAAGCAGTAGCACTTGAAGAATACAAGAGAAAGGAAGGATTGATGGTAGGCCGAATATAGTAATATAGTAATATAACAACACAGTAAGAATAGTAATATAGAAATATAGTGGTAATGATATAGGTAATATAATAAACCCCAAAACCCCCTAAACCGTAAACCCTAAGTATAGTACTGATATAGTAAGTTAATTTGCAGTTTGCCTTGCGGACATGAGGCTGGACCTACACCCAGGAGGAGGCCGACAAGTGGCAGATGGAGGAGCGCGGAGGTTCCCCAACCTGAATACCACCAAGCTGAAACAGTGTAGGGTTTAGGGTTTAGGGGGTTTAGAGGGTTTAGGGGGTTTAGGGTTTAGGATGTTGGGTCAAAAATGTTGGGTTCAGTGTTTAGGAGCTTGTTGGGGTTTACCCGGGGAGGTGGGTGTTTCTAAGTTTTTGGATGAGGCCTTTGATTCTGGGTCCCTGCAATGAGGCGGGTCAAGGCCATAGCAGACATGTTCGAAATACTGACGAATAACGTAGGATACTGCACGCAAAACCGCATCATTGCAAGCTCGGTGGGCTTGCGTGTGTGGCCGCTATAATATCATGTACAGCCTCGTCACCGTCTTGATAAACAGATCGCGATTGTGGATTGAGGCAGATGATGGCAACGCTTTCAGGGCTCCAATTCCCGTAGAACCTCAAAACCGAAAACCCTGACTTAAACCCGAAACGCTAAACCCTAGACTCTAGAACGTAAACCCTAAATTTAACCCTAAATATTATGATAGTACTTTCCATTTGCTTTTCGATTTGCACTGAGCCCTATTAAAACCCTACCAGATGCCGTGTTACTTCGAGGTAAGTTACGGATTTCATCAATTCATGCTTGCCAGGGGCGGCAGTAGATGAAAACGCTGTGGCAATCACATGAATCACTGAAAGCACTGCAACTGATGGACGCAAATCCTCTTATTAGCTGTTTATACTCCCTGTACGACCCCTTTGTCAATTTAATTTTCCGTTTGATATCCATTTGATATTCTGGGTTATCAAATTCCTCTTGTTATGAAGCCCCTAACCTCATCAACCCTAAACCCTATGCCGAATTTCAGGTTGATGTGCCATTTGACTACCACTATGGGCGTCACCAAAATCCTCGTGTTATGACACCCCAGACCTCATAAACCCTAAAACAAGGTTCCGTTTCATTTTACGTATTCTTTGCATTTGGGCTTGCACCACACTTAGCATTGGGAGCCCTCAAACCTTAAGCCCTAAACCGGCTGGAAACCTTTCAAGGTGCTCAGGGAGACTACCGCGACGGTATGCAGGCCAACTGGCAGGGGGATGTCGGTGTTATGGTAGGGTTTCATTGGATTTCACCAGCGTTCGCAAAGAATCTTATATGTGTATTTCTCAGTATTATCCCTATACAATCCCTAATAAGGNNATAAGGACCCCCATAATCCCCATATAAGCCCTATATATCCCTTGGGGTTCCTAGGGTACCCCCTTTTTTGAGAAACTCCCCTATACCCTCCCCAAAAACCCATAGTACGAAACCGAGGTTAGCGGTTGGGTTCCTGGCTTCCCTGGAACCCAAAGGGTCCATGTAGGTATATGGTATATACTTAGGGCCCAAAGGGGTTCCCATATACCTACTTTAAGGCCCAAGTATATCCCATATACCTACATAGACCCTTTGGGGAATGTAGCCAGCCAAACTCAATAATTCGAAGCAATGGCATCTCATGAGCCAGAATCCAAACTCCTTAAAGGGGTGTATATCAGGAGGTATATAGGGGACTACTATATGGGCTTATTAAGGGGGATAACTCCTTAAAGAGGGGTATATAGGGGACTACTCTAGGGGTTATTAAGGGGGATAACTCCTTAAAGGGGGGTATATAAGGGGGTGCATAGGGGACTACTATAGGGGTTATTAAGGGGGATACGTGTATATCTAGGTACCCCAGTAATACCCCTTTTGCCTTTTTTTATTGTTTGGGGGTCTCCTTATTAAAGCTGAATAGTAGGAAAAAGAGTACCCTTATTATTAAGGGCTTACTGGGGAACCTAGATATAAGGGGGTATATAGGGGACTACTATAGGGCTTATTAAGGTGGATACTATAGAGTTTAGACTATAGCTCTTATGGTGTTTGAGCAGGCTTGCAGCATTGAATGCAACAGTCAACCGATTCAGGCCCATGTCTGCTATGGTAGACCCATGATGAATAGACCCCTCCTTCTTTAAGGGCCTTAATATTAGGGGTTTAGGGTTTAGGATCCCTATTATAATCCCTATGAGGGGGAGGGGTTTATTAATCGCGGGTCTACAGTAATTATGGTAGACTCATCTGTTGTGTGAACTTAAGCTAAGATACTTTAATAAGTAAGCGCTACTGTTTACTATATACTCATGTTATGGTTGGTAGCTTAACCCTAAATCCTAGACCCTAAACCCTAAACCAACCCAGCTTAGGGCTTGGGACACCTTTGAGTCTTTGGGAGGGCAGCGTGGAGGACCCCCTGCCGGACCCTCCTTCGGCCTGGATGCCACGCATTCCGGGTACAGATGATACTTTCCCAAAATAGGGGGACCCCAGTATACTATAGTCCTAATGGGAAATCAAATGGAAACTATTATATTTATAAGGGTTATATATAGGGGTTATATGGTAATTTCCAGGCGGACCCCAATATAGATTCCAAAATACTATAGTCCCCGTGGAAATGGAAACTATTATAGTTATAAGGGTTATATAGGGGTTATATGGTAATTTCCCAAAATACGGGGACCCCAATATAGACTCCAAAATACTATAGTCCTAAATTACAGGACCCCCCAAAAGGTACCCCTAATTTTGGGAACCCCCAAAGATGAATCCCGGCCTAGGTAGAGAACTTACCATGAGACCTGAGGAGTTTGTACAAAGGAGTGTAAGTCCCATTTTGTCCGCCAACCGAATCTGGGTTGCTGTTAAGGAACTTGATTTAAGTTGCCAGAGTATGGGTAAATGATAACTGATATGGTTTCCGCACTGCAGTAACTTGATTTAAGTTCCATAACAGCAACCCAGAAATACATCCAAAACGTAGGTTTGAGACATCCTTCTCTAACCCTGTCAGAGAGCAAGGGCTTCGTTCCAAACCAGCGTGCAAAGTGTCAGACCATGCGCTTGTGTCCTGAAGTTGGCGCACATCCGCAGCAGAAAGATCAGGGAATGTTGTTCCTTAACCTTGTTAGGGTTTAGGGTTTGAGTATATTTTTCCTGAACAATTGTGACAAAAGCGTCTTTGTCGTAGGAATGGAGCCTCAACCCTATTGTGGTCTTCTCTGTTAAGTGCTATATATCACGTCTAGAAACATCCAGGATGATGTGCCAATCATAAATTCGCTATTAGTTGCTCTGCAGGGCGCGCAGGGGCGAATCCCTATAGTAGTCCTCATACATGATGCAGCCCGCTAGTAATTCTGGTAATTTCAGTGTGCTGTATGTTTCAGGGCCCAGGGCCTTGTTTCCCTACTAACCACCGAACCGGAAAATCTTACACGCTGAATTGCAGAGCAGGTAGAGAGATCCTGCAATTCAGACTTAACCCTTAAATTACTGGTTCTCACTAGGGAATTAGGGAATATAATCCTCATATAATCCGTATACAACATATTCAATTCTTCCCTACTAAGAAGCAGTACGTAAACCTTTCTCTCCTACCAGGAGAAGATTGCAAACGTCATTGCCTGCCTGAAAAGCGAACCCCGGTCTGCGGCTTAGATATGTAGTACTAGCAGTCTGCGGCTGGTCTTGAAAGCTATGGTCCCTCTTTGGGTACTATTATCAACCCTTAAACCCTCAACCCCATAGGCGATCATGGCAGGGGAGGGGGCCGAAGCCTGCTAGTTGTAAGTAGGGAAAGAAGGAATGAAGGTATCAAGAAATGAACATTGAAAGGCAAGCCACTACCTAGGGTTTGGGGTTTAGGGCTCTTAGCCGGGAAAGGAGGCAAGGCCTCGTACAGCAACTGACTTACAATCTCCGATCTTAAACAAATGTCCATATTCTTTTCCATGCCTTGATTCCTTAAACCCTAAACTTTGGGTACTGCCCCCACTCAGTAGCAGTTGGATAATAGTTATGATATGGTTATATATAGCCCTTAATAGGACACCTAATATAGGCTGTTACTGGGGGGCAGTACCCAACCTAAACTCAACAATCAGGAAGAAGCTCCATGAAGGGCTGACTCAGGTCCAAGCGAGCGATCATTCCCATCCCGTTCTCCTCCGAAGGCAAATTCCGGCAATTCCATTGGAGGTTCATGCGAATTGCTGACTACTTCTGACTGGACTTTGAACCCTACCCATGCTTCACTTGACTGGCCTTGTGTAGGTTACTCCACAGCTAGAATCCCAGGTAGGAGGAGTAGTTGCTACGTCCCATGGGCCTCCAAGCGTCCTTGGCGTGCAGTAGCTTGAGCTCCACAAGAGTTTGCTCTTTTGATTTGCGAGCAAGAACAGAGAGCGTATTGCTGAAAGCCTTGCTGGGCTTCATGAGCCATGACGTGGTGAGTTCACAGCATGGCGTACGCTGCAGGAAGCAAGACTGTAGACTGGACGAACAAGGGCCAAACGAAGTGTTGCCTCATCCTCAGTTCCAGCTTTCCATTCGGCCGGCAGGTTGTGAATCTGGGGTGATGCGGGGTCGGACCCATTAGTACCCAGACCCCTTAAAGGATGCAAAAAATTGAACCCCCTAATCATCCCCTAGTTTCCCCAATGTAGTACTGGGTTCATATTGGGGGGTTCCGTTTTTTGGATTTTGTAGGGGGTCTGGGTAGGAGGGGTCGGGAATTTCACGTAGACGGTATGCTACCCCAGCAAGGCCTAAACAGTCCAGTTGTGTGCTCTTACCCTAAACCCTAAACCCTAAACCCTATCGCACAAGGGCTCATGGAATTGCACGAGGTCGTGAACTGCACCTGTACATAGAGGACGGCCTGCACTGCCAGAGCTTCGGTAAATTAGGTCACTGACATTTAGGGTTTAGGGTTTAGGGGAACACAAGAGAAGATCCTGTCTTGAAGCGCATGTTACTTCCTACTGAAATCACAAGCATGCACGCTGCACTTGGGCAAAGTGAGATTTGGGGATATTACTTGGATGGCTACTTCTTTTTACAAAATGGGCAGGAAGGGCTACACGGCCTCCTTAACGGCCTGTTTGCACCTGTTTAAACCTTGTCATTAGGGGCAGTATAGGGATTATATAGGGTACTATGGGGACTATATAGGGGTAAATAAGTATCATACTGAGGATTATACGGGAGTTGATGAGGTACAGGCCAGCATACTACTGCAGGAGAAGCACCGATATGTGCAGCACGGATGTACACTTCACCTCGCTGTCCTGACTTCACTTAAACAGAGCCCCCACAACTATCCCCTCCTATAGGCCCCGTTAAGTAGATAGAATATGGCACATGAGGTTTATGGGGATCTTATTATGATATTGGGCGATTCCACACGCCAGCTACTCAAGGGGGACTATAGACCTTAAGCCTCAGCGCATTCCAACCCTAAACCCTAAACCCTCAACTCTAAACCCTAAACCCTCAACTCTAAACCCTAAACCTCACCGCCACTGCTGCAGGACAGCCAGTTGAAGTGCACGGGAATTTTGCGGATGCAGAATGCTGGCATCCCAACAGCCAGGATGGGATTATATGAGCCATAGTCTAAACTCCTTAAAGGGGGGATATATAGGGGATGATCTAGGGGACTACTATAAGGGTTCTTAAGGGGGATACTAGGAGTTTAGATTATGGCTCATATTGGGATAATGGAAAAGAAAATGGAAACTACTATAAGGTTTAGGGTTTAGGGTTTAGGTTAATATTGGGGTTATATTGGGTAATGGAAAATAAAATGGAAACTATAGGGATTATGTAGGGTTTCTATAGGGATTCTATAGGGTTACTTTAGGGATTCTATGGGGTTTCTATAGGGTTTCTATAGGGATTCTATAGGGTTTCTATAGGGTTTCTATAGAGTTTCTATAGGGTTTCTGGTTTAAGGTTAAGAGAAGGCCCTGGGGTTTAGGGTTTAGGGAATGTGGTAGTATCTCTGGGTGTGCTGCCATGACTGCTGTCTTGCCATGATTCTCCTTCTGGGTGAAAAGTTTTTGGCTTAGGGCCATTAGAGGCTTGGGGCATGTAGTTATTGTATGGAGCTTGAAGTACAGGCTTTAGGGGTTTAGGTTTAAGGTTAGCGGTGGGGGCATGTAGAGATACCTCCCCCGCGCTCTTCACAGAGATCAGAGCTGCGAGTCGACTGATCCATCTTTAGGATGAAGGGTTTAAAATTTAAGGTGTGGGGTTCAGGGCTTTGGGATGTTTAGGGTTTAGGGTCCATCCCTGTATAGTCCCTTTGCAGTCCCTAAAATAAAAACCCCATTTTGCCAGAACCGCGCAAGGGCACGATCCTAACACTCACCTCTGGCTACCATGCAGGGAAGGAGGAATCCATCCTTAGAGTAATCGCTATACATAATCCGCATAATACAGTAGCTTCCATTTTCTTATGTAAGCTTCGAACCCCAAACCCTCAATAGTACTGTAGTTTCCACTTTTCTTCCATTCCTTCATTGCCAGCTAAACAGAGATAAGAACATCAAGCTACGACTTGCTACGATGAACAGCCTTGATGGCAAGTAAATAGTTGTTGGCGGGCGCAGAAGTCGCCCTGTGTTTTTGAGATGTTTAAGCCTCTTGACGTTTTTTTCAGGTTTTGTTCGGCTTGGTTACAGTGTTTTCGCCTCTTGGTACAACACACTGCGCGAAGCATGTGGAACTTGAACAAGACACGTTGTCACAACCGTCCATGCCTTGGGCTTTGCAGCTTTTTTGCGTCTTTGTACAACATACTGCACAAGGATGTGGAACAAGGAAAGCTGTCACAAGCCTCCATGCCTTTGGTGACCATGCCGAAAACACCAGTATTTACAGCGTTTTTGTTCTCTACGGGCTGCGGCTTGTGGATTCCGGGTTAACCAACTGAATTTCAGAAACCGAAGCACAATCTAACAAAGAGTGAAATCTTCTCCTTGATACAATAGTTTCCTGGATGTGCAGCTACCATGCTTTTCCTCCAAATCGTGCTAAACCTGGGTTTCGTGCTACTTTTACGTATAGAAAGCAACAGGGCGACCCATGCGCCCGCACCCAAATAGCTTTCCATACATGGGGCCTGTTTCGGTTGATATTATCCCAGCAATGGAAAATCAATGGAAGATGAGATGGAATCTTGGGGTACTCTGGGGGTTACTAAGGGGGATACTCGGAGTTTAGACTACAGCTCATATAGAGGTTGTATATGCTAGGATTCGAAGACAAGGACTCACTCGGCTTGCAGTGACAGGTCCGCTGCCTGCTTCCAGGCTCAGGGAACTTACTAGGTAGACACGGGATTTCGATTCCCCTCTCTGGGACTAGTTTATTACCTGTGTACCACCTCCCCTGATTCTTCAAGTATTCTGGGTTGATATTGCAGAACTTAACGTCCAGGGTGCCATGATGGAGAATCAAGCGCCAACAAGCAACGAACGTGAAATGGAAACTGCGGTTGCTTAAGGCTTGAAAGGCGGTTTGAAACTCAACTTAAGTCAACAAATATGGTTAGATAATGAACAGTGTCGTTTCTCCATAATGATGAACTAGTCAAAGTTCCTTAACAGAACCCTGTACTCCTTGAGGACGAACTTCGCACTGAGAACCCTAAAACCTAAACCCCCGCCAGACCCTAAACCTGAGGTCAATCGCCCCAACACTGATAGCCTCTAAATGTGGAGTTAGTAGAGCCGCAGTATACCTACAACAGTCCTTCGTGGTACCCATTACAGGGTGGGGGATTGACCCCAGCCAAAACCCTAAACCCCAAACCCTGAGCCGTATGGCATAGGCATCAAACATAATTTGATAAGGCATCAAGAAAAATTTGCCAAGCATCAAAAAAGAATTTGAGCCGTAGTCTCTTTCCAAGCATTGTTCTTATCGGTATTGCTACCAGTATACGTAATATCCGTATTCGTATTGTGAGTACTGCTATTCCCCATTCACTTCATTTTCGCTAATGTATAGTACAGTTTATCATCATTTGTCTTGATGTTTATCAAATGATTTGATACCGTGGGCAAGTTTTCCATTGTTTCTTGATTGTTTATGTCATTTGTTCTTGATGCTTATCAGGTTTTTCTTTGATGTGTCACCCGAACCATAAACCTGAAATCCCTTTGCCCAGGCCAACATCTTCCCCAAGAACATCCACTTCTTTCAGACGCTTCTGCTTCATGTTGGCAGCGAGCTTCAGTTAGGCCCTGAGACAGCTGACTGTACCTTGGTCATGGGGGTCTCCCAAAATTGGTGGTCCCTTTAAGGGGGTTATGGGGTTGTTAAGCGATTTATGGGGTTTCCCACAATTAGGAGTATCATTTGGGGGTTCCCATGATAAGGGCTATGGTGCATCAGGGTCTCTATTTATGGAAACCACCATCTGAGAGCTTCTCAAAGTTTTCTCTTATGAAGTCCTTCGTCTGGTACCTCTTTTGTGAGAAAGAATCCCAGGTACACTCTGATGTAAGAACCCTCCGCCAAACTAACATTCCAGCCCCACACGGGGCCTACAAGACTACTGTCCCTTTAAAGGTCTATCCCTAAACCCAAACCTACATGTCCTGCCATTGGAGGGTAATCCCCTGCTTGCCAAGGCTGCCAGTCGGGGAGTATACGCATTGGATTACAAACCTGTGCCTGAAGCTCAGCAGACTTCTTCCTACTTCCTGCTGGTGGGTAGAGAATAGGGAAAATTTTATGTAGGGATTACATTCTTTAGCCTTATGCCCTACTTACCACCAGTAAGAGTAAAGTTGACTGCGCGCAGCAAGTGCCTTGGGGTACCCAGAAAGCCACCATTCCCTGATTGGGAAACATATTCCAAATGGTACTAAGATAATATGAGTTTAGGCATGTTTCCTAATAAAGGGATATTGGGCTTTCTGGGCGGGTTGTGGTTTAAAGGTGTGCGGTTTTGTGGTTTAGGGCCGAAGCTGTTGGGGCTTGAAGCGCTGGAGAGCCAACGTATAAAGTCCCCCTGAAGTAGGAATATAACATAAGGTATATGGGATCTCACTATGATATTGGGCAATGCCATAGTCTATCTATTTAAGGGGGATTATACACCACCAGAAGAAGTGTATTGCCCCTTGCAGCCCACGTCGGCCTTCCTAACCTCCACATCCTGAGTGGGTCTCCCACACGCGCGTGTCTCAAGGCATCGGATGTTTGAGGTTTCTCACCTACAGGTACCCAAAATTAAGTGTACGTTTTTGCAGTCCCTATAATAAGAATTATAGTGTATTCGGGTCCCCCTGTTTACGGAAACTGCCATATGTCTACATATATACATATATATATATATATGTGTGTGTGTCTGTATATACATGCACGTAAACTTCTTGAAAGTTTCGATTCTAGGGCAGCTTCATGAGACATGCCGGGTCTAGGATTCTAGTCGATACTTCTGTCATGGGTTTCATATAGCAGCCACAATCTGGGTTGCTGTTAAGGAACTTAAATTAAGTTACTAT